TTTTTATAGACCATTAAAAAATCTCCTTAAAAGCCGCTTTCGCTTATTTGTAGGAACCGCACAATTATATTACCTAATTTATTTTACCAAGAGAAGAGAACTATTTTTAGAGGTCATTAAAAAGTGCGAGGGCTACAACTCCCACAATGCTTTGTTGTACAAAATGTCGTCAATGCACATTGCCTATTGGAATCTGAAAAGAATGAGAAACTATGGGATGCCTCTGGTCACTAAACAAAGAATATATAGACTGTATATGTCAATGAAAATACTATAAAACTCAATTGTATACAATAGAACGTAAAATAATGGACAATAGTCGACTTTAGATATTTTGGTTCAGTGACCACTGGCACAAAAGAATTGCAGACGAGGCTCCGGGGAAATAAAATAATAAATCAAGATTATCCATTGTTTCCCCGGAACCTCGTGTGCGTTYTTTTGTACATAGTCATCGAACCAAAATATCTAAAGTTGACTATTGGACATTTTTTTAATAAACAATAAAATAAAACTGTGCAGGTAAACAATAATATTAATTTTGAAACACATACAGCATTTTGCAAAAATTATGAGAATTGTTGAAATATCTAAATATCATAATATCAAGTGCATGATGGAATCCCGCTAGATGCCCTTAGTCCCTTGTCTTTGTAGTTTAGGGGTTTTTTTTGGCGACAGACTTATCCGTAGTTCTGAACATTTTCTCGATGTCAACAATGAATTATTCTTTAGCAAACCTGCGTGTTCCGGACAATATATGGATATGGATATTATGATATTTAGATATTTAGATAATTCTCATAATTTTTGCAAAAGGCTGTAATTAACAGATAAAGTAAATTAAAAAAAATTTCATTCAAGATGGCGGCTGTATTGGGAAAATTCTCTTCAGTTATTAGAATTAATAGGTGTCATATTACTTCCATTGTGTCTGGGAAACACTTTTGAATTCATTCGTACCTGACGACGACGGCTGATTAGCATTTTCTTCATCCCCTTCTTCCACGATACATTCAGCTTTGGTCAAATTCAAAAACAGATCATGTCTGAATTCAATAGTGGGAGAACAATTTTGACTTCTTTCATCTTCGCTTGTAATCGTCTCAGTGATAGTTACGTCATTCTCTTCCTGATTATTGATTGGTTGATTTTCTTGTCCTTCATCGTATCTTTCTGGGGGCGTTAGGGGACGGATTACCTCAGATGACTGACGGTTCAATCGATAGAGTTCATCACGCCTTAGCTTGATTGAGATGCATGACAAGTTGAAGCCAAATACAAAGTAGAATGAGATGAAAGTGAAGCATATATTTGTAAAGTAAATAAACATCTTTCCATTCTGTACGTTTGCAGACATGTTGAATAGCCACCAAGATATTAAGTATGCAGCGGCAATAGCACGGATTGCACAGAGGACRTAAGGAATTCTGAAAAACTAAGAAAAAATACTCGTTCATAAAAAYAGATAATAGTTCAGTGTAAGAAGATCCTTTAAACACCCACAATATAGAACTGAATTCTTTTTCGACTGAGGTGCAGTTCTTTCCTAGTTCGCTCTCGAAGTTTCCTCATCCGTCGGAGCGAATTAAATTTACTGTTTTCCCTCAATTTGAGATTGTGAAATTTTCAACTATTCTCAGTAATARTTTGTTTCCCAGCGACCAGAGAAGGGGTGATAAATGATGACCCAATAAGGAACTTTGCTTTCATCAACTATTGTAGACCGAGGAAGACTTCAAAATATGATAACTCTATCGAACAATCGGTCTTCGCCACGTTCATCTGCCATTTTAACAAAGACTTCACGTAAAATACTTACAGAGGAAGAAGTGAAATCTTCGACTGTAGGATGTCTTAGACGAAAGGGTTCCAAACATTGTCTTAGTTCAGCTTTCCATCTACTACTTCTCTCATTGACTTTCATTTTATTCTGAAATGAAAAGTAAGATTCATTAATTAAAAAGTTTGAAGTTGATTCAGACAGCACTGTGTGAGACGTCTGGAACGATAACCAAGWAATATTATGAAATGCAGCTATTATCAGCTTGCTAGAAATTGATAGAAAGAGATTTTTAGACGATAAAAATTTGCAGAGCATTAAAGTGACCAAAAAAAACCCGATATAATAATATAAAAGTAAAAAAATGCCATACTTACCATACTGCCTTTCCTCGATTTCCTCTCTTTGGTTGCCATAGGTAGAAGTGTCACATAAGTGCTTTCAGATTTAATACCCAGCGCTGTACACAAGTCAATCTTCTCTTGAAACGGAAACTGCCGTTTCTGATCTCAAGAAGCAACTGAGTATTATGAATAATTCAGATTGTTAGGTGAAAAAAGCTGAAATTGAGTAGTATTCCATGAAAGGTTTCTAAGTAATGATGACATCAAGGCAACACATAATTATTACTACAGACTATAAGCTAAGTACTGAGCTGTCTGTGACATGCCAGAAATTTCCCCATAAATAAATGATGCACAACCTCTTGTTATAAGAAATTCTCCTTTTCTTATACAATTGCAAATAAGAATTTTGTCAGAGTTTTTGCATACTGAGGTGGAAGACAAAGTAAAAAGAAAATTAACCAAGGATTTAATTGTTAAGATAT